AGAAGATGTACATGATGAATCAGAATCTGATTCACTGCCCAAATCTTCACAATTACTTTCTGCCAGTTCCTGACTCCGACTAATACTAATGCTGCTTTGCAAAACTTGACTGCTTCCAGTAATAATCTCCACTTCACCTGTACCTGTGGTAGTAAGAGTACTTGGCTCTAGCATAAGCAGAGCTTACAATAGATCTGGTGGCGGTTGAAAGTTCTCAAGATCCTGAGGACTAGGATTCTTTTCTGGATCTATAATAGGAATCATCAACTCAGGTTGAAGAATACCACCTTGAGCCTGAATAGTTTGAACCAGTTTCTTCCTTTCCCTTTCTGCCTTGTGAGTATCAACACATCAATAGTGCAAGGCTGTCTTAGCCTTATTGACTGCAACTTGGATGTCCTTTCGAGCCTTCTTGATAGCATTGGCTTTTTCTTTCTGATCTCTTTCTGCCTTCTTTTGTCTTGCTTCTTCAACAGTAATGATCCTGTCTTTTTAAATACTTCGTCGAGAGTTGATTTTGCGCTTTTACTGCTCACAGATTTGTGATTGAACAGCACGATAGGATCCCTCTTGCAACTGTCCCTCAGCAAGGCAGATCTGTGTTCCCCTAGCCCATTGTTGAAAGCGGTCCTTGGATGAGGGACTTAAGGTTTCTGCTTTATCAATCCATTCCCCGATTCCCTTTTAGCACTCAAAATAGGTGCTGGGAAGAACTGGAAGCTTGAGCTCACCTCCTTCTTCCATTGGGACTTCAGGTTCGCTGGGACTTGCAGATGTACCTGGGCCATTCTCAGAGTGGGATGATGCAGTGGAGTTGGATATGGCTTTAGGGTTTCCTCTGGCATTGTAATACCGTGTTTTCTTCAATGCTCTCTTGAATGAGACAGGAAACATACCAGAGTCTGTGAAAGCATTTTTAATTGTATGCATCTGAAAGGTTTGTTCACGAATAGAACTAAGGTCTCTGAAGAAGAAGGAAATTGTATACTCCATATCAAGCGAGTGTAGGGTATTGTGAATGGCTTTGTTGTGGTAATGTTTCCATGGGCGAAAGATACCAACATCAAGAGGCTGAAGGACATAGGTGAGATGGGAGGGAAAGCTCAAGAGAACAATATGGTTCTCATAGCATTTCAGAATAAAGTCATCCTTATGGTGGGTAATATGTCCATCGAGTAGAAGCATATGCCAATGCTTATCAGGACCTGCATCCACATGCTTGATAAAGTGATCTAGCCATGCAACAGCAATCGTCTCATTGGTATAACCTGTCTGCCAAACTGCTATAACTTCAGCCCCTACAAGATTATCACTCACCCAACTCTCCATGATCCTTTCACCAGGGCCGATCACAATAGGTGAAATTGGAAGGCCACCATCTGCGCAGATTGTCTCGATAATGGTGATAGACTTTCGATTCTCTGGGCTTGCTGTATACAACTCCTTTTCATGAGTTGGCACAATAACAATCTCGCCAGTTGGGCATCTAACACAAACTCCAGACTCGTCTATAATGTAAATATATTTGGCTCGTTTGATGCCATACTTGGTGAGAGTATTTTGATACTCAATGAAAAAAGTCTTCAAATCCTCCTCACTATGAGTGGCGACACGTGCATGGGCGATTGGCTTGGTCTTAATGGTATACAGAGTAGGTTTCTTCTTCAGCCATTTTCGAAACCAGATCAGAGATGGAGGACTGCATTGTTCTTGCTGACGTAGGTGGCAGATTGCGGCGTAAATCATCGAAGGTGTTGCTCCTAATTCCATCTCCAATTGGTCCTGGCAGAATCTGAAAACTGCCTCCTCCTGAAGCTTTGTAAGAATAAGATTATTCCCTCCATGCTGGTTAAAAGTACCCCGAATATTTCTCTCTTGATAGCGTTGTCGGTGTTGGCGCATACGAATCGATGATTGCTTGACATTAAAGATTTTTGCTGCAGTACTGGCCTTCTTACCAGGCTCCCCAGCTAGCTATTCCATTGCTGCATCTAGGCGCTTCTTCATTTCAAGCTTTTCCATAGCTTCGGACTCGGACATGTGTATTCAACCTCTTGGAGATTCTCGTTGGAGTGTTAACCGTAGGCGGAATGGGGGTAGATGGTACTATGGCTGGTGCAATAGCTTTTTAAAGCTAGACGGGACTCAGGCTAGTCACTGGGAGAGTAACTGGCTTAAAGAGGAAGAGGAAATTGAAATTGAGTCCAGCTGGGTGGCTGAGTCGCATCTAGTAGAGTGGTGTCAGGCTCGTAATTTGCTAGTACCTTTACTAGTCACGCTATGCTGTTTGGGTGGTTGGGGTTGTTAAGTTCTCCGAGTGGGTCTACAAAAAAAAAAAAAAACGGAGCGTCAAACTTGCTTATCCGTCACACTTGCTTATCCCAACTATGAGGGAAGCGAATAGGAGGGTAACCGGCTATTATACTTAGTATACTCATAAGAATCCACTTTAACCTTTCCTGGTACTTCCACTAGCTTTGACCTCAAATCCCCACAAAAGGCTCCCCATACCATAACTGTCTCCCTTCCTGACTCCCAGACCTCATCAATGCAATCTTGATCATATTCCTCCGAAGGTTCTCTTATCACCCATCCTCTCTGCCCAAATCCAGCTGTAGAAAATGAGGTTTCATCAGTTCATATGATTCTGGACCAGTCTCTTAGTTTCCAAGCTCTTTTTCTCATACACCAACCAAATCTAATTGGTATATTTTTAGGGCACAATCCCTATCTAAAATATCTTTTAGTTATGTAAACACTTGAATCTTCATTAAAGTACTTACTTCTTGCGTGGTTTTCTTTTATTTAAATTAACACTCTTAGCTGCCTTCTTAATTGTCCTGGATGATGCCTTTAATCCCTTCTCTTTTTTAATATCTTCCCAAGAGAGTCTTCTATTTCTTTTATTTTCTTTAATAAAAGACTTTAGATCAAGTAGATCAAACTCCTGGAAGATTGGAGGTCTTCCTGTTCACTGGTAGTTGGAAGGACTACCTGTTTCCCGATACCGTTAATAGATGCGAGCACAGGTACTATGGTGAACTTTAAGTCCTATTTTCTCCTCCAATTCAGCAGCTATCTTTCTGAAAGACCACTCCGCTATTTCTCGGAGAGCAATAACACGGATCCTATCATCACGCATGGTTTCCCACTCAAAGCGCTGTCGCTTCTTCGTCAACGATTGCCACCACTCAAGATTTCGTGGACTAATCGCTAAATCATTTAATTTTATTATTATTTCAACTTTATGTACATATTATTTTAATTAAACTAATGCCCACTTCTGCAGGTTCCCTTTACCGTCATAGTGCTTTTCTGAAATGGTTTGGCAGGTGGTGGGGGATATAGTGAGTATTGTAGTAATGGGGGTTGGGAGTAGAGTTGCGATCTTGTGGGAAGCGGTTGCTACTGTGTCGCACTACTTCTTTCCCCCCCCCCTCGTACAGAGTCCGTAGTGTTTGCATTTATGACATGTAGGATCTGTGTGGACCAAGTAGGAGTTGGAACGGTTTCCTGTTTAAGGCCGGGTATGGTAGCAGTAGTGGAAGTGAGTGGAAGTGGAAGGTACTGGCCTGGCAGTGCAGACCTGATCTGTGGCAGCATTGTTATTACCGCAGTTTGCTGAATGAACCTGAGTGGTTAGGTAACATCTAGGGACAGGATGGAGGTTTCCTTTCTTGGAGCAAGAAGGTTTGAGGCAGTGGTGTTAGTTTTTGAATGTAACGAGACTCCACAGTATGCTATCATAATTAGCCAAACATATATCCATACTGATATCAAGAGACTACTGCGATAGAAATAGTAGTAGACAAGAGTCTCCTCCTCCAGAGCTCCAACACTAACTAGAAAGCGGCGCAAAATCAAAAAAGATGCTTGCGATATTCCGAGTACTTCTACCATTCTTTCCTCTCTCTCCCTTCCAACAACTCAGATATAGATATACTTCCAGTCATCGCTGAGGTTCGGGAGTGTTCCTTTCCTCTATGCAGTTGGCAATAGGTTCCAATTGCATATCCAGAAGCACAAAGTTCAGGAGAAAAATCAACCATTGTATAGAGTTAAACGAACTGGTATTCAGAATATAGATATGAACAAGAGCGGATTTTGTGTGAACTGGTATCTGGAATGCAGATGCGAATGATGATTAATTTGAAATAAAATGAAAACGAAGCTTGTGGGGAGGGTTGCAAGCGATGAGTTTTCAAAAACTGCTTGGGCCGAGATGTCCAACCTGGCTGTTTGGAGCCTCATTCTGTGAGCTTGAACCTTGCCATCTACACCAGGATAACACCACTGCTAGGTTGATTCTGGCATAATTCAACAACCTCGTATTTTGTCCTCCTACCTAGTGGCGGCAAAACGCGCCCTAAGCTTGCTGTAGTGATGGGGATCCCATGATGCGGCTCAACGCAAGGGCAGGGAGTTGAGCCTCTTGGGATACCAGTTCCCATTGAGGGGTGTGCGTCTGGAGGGGGGTTCGAGTCGGGATGTACGAGTACATGGGTGTTTGTTTACTTCATTAGCACAACTTTCTCATTCATACCGGTATATCAACACCATCGAGAAACTAAGACAGCAACCATCACTCGAGTAGTCGCCTCACATAAAAACAAAAGAGCTATTTTCCAAGCTAATTGCTGAATGCGAGAGTTCTCGATAGTCATGTCGCTCCCAACAATACTCACGTCTACCTATTCGACCCCCAAGTGTACAAAAACACAAAGGAAACCTCCGCTCTCGCTAGTAAACTCGACACTCTCGGGTTCTGCGCCTTTCGAAGATGATGAACGATGGAAGCTGTTCGTTACGACGAGTAGTATGGTGCGTGTTTGGGATCGTCATGGTTGCAATCGTGTTTTCACTTCCGGGTCCGGGGGCATTGTCGCAGCGAAGGGCGCAAAGGATGGTTCCGTGCTGGCGATAGTTGACGCTCAGGTTGTTATACTGCATAAGATAGGGGAGGGACAAAATAGGTCTTATCGACTGAGGGGCGCACAGGTATGTGCTATTTGAGTTCAATTTTAAGTAGATGGGATACTGATTTGTCCAGCATTGCCGCCTGTTACAATACGATCACGAATCACGGTCACTCTTTTTCACTGATTCTATTCATAATAGTGTCCAAACTTATTCCTTCAAGGAAAGCAAAGTATTTGACGCTGCGGAGGTATTGTTCCTCTCGTGCTCTGACAGTACTATCACCGCTCTCCCGTCATTCTTGCTTACCCGTTTTCTAGGCCCATCCCTCAGCCGTCGTTTCGTTTGCCATCTCATGTGATTCGAACCTTATTTTATCCTGCTCCGCAAATCCTCCAGTGATTCAAGTTCACAACCGGTTATTGGCGACCACCATTGCAGTCGCCCCTCGTGCTTCTACGACTTCGGTAAACATCTGCGTATTCCATCCTACTCACCGAAACATATTTGTTCTTGCATTCAACGATGGTGTTCTCGCGGCCTACGACTATAGTAAGATATCAGGGGGGGGCAGCGCGAGGAGAGATCATGGAACAGGTATCGGACAAGGGGACCTGAAAGAGATTCATACATTCCGCCACTTACACGATCCCAGTGTCGCCGGGTCATCGGGAATCACTGGTGTGCAATTTCTCCCCGGATACCGGAGTAGGGCTGTTACTGTGGGTGAAGACGGGAGGGCTTTTCTTGTAGATTTTGGTATGCGTGACACGCTCGGAAGCTGGCATACCGGAGCCCCAGCTACCAGTCTGACTGTAAGGTCTACAGCGGCAAAGACCGGCGATCGAGATGACCCGAAAGCTTACCTGATCGCAGTTGGATCTGTCCATGGTAGGTGCTACGTCTATGACGGCCATGGAAATAAGGTTGGCGAGCAGGTTGTTGATGTCGCGGGAGGGAAGATCCTTGGGGTTGAGTGGGTGAGTAGTCGTCCACATTCTTCCATACTGGCTGCGCTTTTTCCGCTTGTCTGCTAATTTTATTAATGTGGATCAGGTTGCTGGCGATATATGTATTCCACTGAACTCAGGAACCTGCGATCCAAATTTATATTCCCACAACCGGTCGCGCCCCGGTTCGGAGCCTCCCGCCAAAGTACGGGAAGGGCTAAGAGCCAGAACTGGAAGTCGTCTAGCCACTAAAAATCGAAACCCATCCCGCTCCTCAGAGCCCCAGCCCCCAATTCCTGGTGGCAAAGATATTGGGGATTCCTTTTCAAAACTGGGTGCGGGGGCGGGACTAGAACGTAATGATGTCGAGGAAGTGACCAATCAAGGTTACATGAGACTTTTCAGCCCCGTGAAAAAGAAGCGACCGCTGAGGGCTTCACCAACGAATGAGAAGAAGTCAACTTCAGCAGCGCAGAACTTGGATCCCCAAGAACGAGCTCTAAGGATGGAAACCCAGAGAACCTCCATTAGCGCCCCACCCCTATGGAGCGGGTCTGGGGAAAAGACCCCACAGCCGTTGGCGCCGGTAATCAGAAATGACGGTCCTGGCCAGACACCGAACACTGTGACCAAAACTGAGGGGAAAACAGTGCACAAGCAGGGCCGGGACTGGAGGTATACTAAGACCACACAATCGTCCGTCACTGTCAAGCACGTTTCCTCTGGGACTTCTAAGGGACAACCAGTCACTGACAAGACGCGTGATGGGAAATTTCTGAGTGATATTCGGTCAGTGAGGGCAAGGGTTATGGGGCAGACTGGCAAACCAGTACGTGGTAATCTGGCACTATTTGCTCCGTATATGCCGGGGAAATCCAAAGGGGAACGCCCCCGAAGCCCCGAGGTTGTTAGGGAAAAGAGAATTAGTCCGGGGAGATTGGCACCGGATCCGAGGCCCGAGACATCAAGTGGGGCGCGAGTTGTTAGGGCGATGGACGGAAGTAACAACGAGGAGAAACCTACTACACAAGCTGCAGACGAAGCAGTAACTACTGTTGCTGATAATGAGGCAACAGCTGTTGATGACGGGTCAATTGAAGCGGATATTTGGTTAGCAGAGGGGAAAGAGGCCAGAAGGAGTCGCAAGAGGAAGCAATCTAATGCTGACCAGGCTCCCGAAACACTTTTGGGTCTTGATGACTCCGCCGGGGGCAGGCGGTCTCTCACCGGCTCTTTCAAAAGCCGCAAAACCGTTTCCTGGCAAGATGAAGCAAGGATGACACGGGACATTCCTATAGGACATGATACCGAAGACCATTCGTTTCTTCCCAAGCTTTCAGGAAGCGGCTCCCCAAAACCCAATAGCTCTAGGCAAGATATATCACCTCCCCCTCACCATCCTCCGATCACCGGTAGCTTTTCGGGATCAGCTCCCTTCTCCATAGTCGGAATGCAATTACCAGGAGCCGAAAACGCCGAGCTGCGATCTGCTCTACACAACATGGTTATGGAGATGCAAATTGCACTCAAGTCTGAAATAACCGACATGCGAGCAGAAATGAGTGAGCGGTTTCGGCAGCAGGATATCATCCTTCGCAACATAGGCCACGAAGTCCAAATGGTCAGACAGGAGAATCAAAATCTTAGAAACCGGCTATCTGAGGCACTCGACACGTTATGAGATCGGTCACGGGCCCGGGTGCCTTCTTGATATGGGAGGGAGGAAGGTTAAGGGTTTGGTTCATGGCGTTTTTCTGAAACATTTTCGTTTTGAGATGGCGTTAGGCATCGTCTGTGGTTGTACGGGCTTGGGGTTTCAGGAGCATAGTGGGAGGTTCTGGTTGTCCTTGTGTAGTCCAATTGCACTTGTATTGCTAGTTGAATATTGGAGGCTAATGAATTACGACATATTGCTTATTTATGTCGTTTACTTATCGACCAAGTTTTGCTCGAACACTAGCCAAGTGACAATGATGGTGACCCGAATGATTGGGGGTGATAGGAGCACCCAGAGTCGTGTTCCAGATCAGATAAGATTAGATGGTGGGGATTTCCACGTCCCAAAAGAGAAAGATAATAACATTATAATATTATATATATTATTGTCGAGACCCCCTCCTCTCCTGCTCCTCTCTCACAACACCCCAACAGCTAGGGCCCACGGTATCCAGTCGAGAATGTCGATACCTAAGGATTTCAGAGCCGAGCAGGCGCAAAACCTACAAGACGTGCACCCCTACTCCTCTCCACCATATACACCAGCGCTGACCTTGATTCCCTTCACAGATCGAAAAGCAATTTGCTGTAAAGGGTATGTTCAGAATTATGATACCAATCACCCACTTCGTAGGTTTGATAGAAAATAATAGTACTAATGAACATTTTCCTTTAGCGGTCATCCACGCCCAAACCTATTGGTCAATCCTTGAGCGGCGCGCAGGAACCGATCTACGCCTTACACGCATGGACCAGGAGATATACGATCACTTTTTCGAGACGTTCCCGGACTTTGATCCCAAGAAGCCGCTCAGTGAGGACGAGATGAAGGGTAAAGCTGGGAAAGAGAAGTGGAGAAACTTTTTGATGAAGTATGAGAGGAGGGTGAGTAAGAATTTCCTCGCATACCAATAGGCGAGGGTGGGGAAGTTCAAAGGTGGAATTGACAGTAGGGAAATGTCAGGTTGGGGATTACAACTTTGGCACGCTACTAAGAACGGATGCGAAGGTAGAGTATGAGAAAGATACCACTATTTTCGGTGAGCGTCCACCCGGGTGAGGTTTGTTGGGTAGTTGGTGCTGATACAGAGCTTTGCTGGATAGTTCCTCGGATGCAGGTATGTTTACTCGTTCATCTGGTAGCCCACCATATATATAACATAAAAACCTAATCAACAGGCGCGATAGTTCTACGCGATTGAGATTGCACGCAATCGTAGCGGCTTGAACGACTGGATAAAAAAGGCCTACGACAAAGAGGGGGAAGCGAAGGAGACGAAAGCAGTTAAGGAGAATACTATCTAGGAGGCATAGTGATAGTTGTTGATTCTCTGATTCCTTGGTATGGCGGCGGAAAGTCAGATAAAGGTTTTATTATTCTTTGTGGATCGGTACTAGTGCCAAGGTTGTGGCTCAATACAATTTTCTTGGGGCTCAACATCACTTGTTTGTGGCTTAAATATAACTTTGTTGTAGCTTAGTATAACTTAGTGTAGTATGTATGAGACAAGATATTCTAATCTACACTTACTTTTCTCACCTGGCTTGTTGCTTAATACTCATAACTATGAGCACGTTTATTCATCTTTTAATCATTTAGTAAGGTATACTGGTCCTAACTAGCGTTCGTTACGGGGCCCCGTTTCCGACAAACGGAGTGCCAAGAGCAGGTTATTAACTTCAAGTTAAAAAAAGAATCATCCAAATTGGACCAAAACTGAGTAAGTTATAGCTCTTTGAAGTTCAACAACTTCAAATAGCTCTATCTCTGTCAGTTTTGGTCCGATTTGGCTCATTTTTTTACCCAGTTAATGAGATTAACTGAGGTTATTTTGTCCCTGCTCCTGAGAAACAGGGCCCATAACAAAGCCTAGTCCTAACAGCATGTGCTTTATAGACCAAAAGCCTCCACCCATGCCTAGGTCCTGCTAGCTAGCTTGAGAAAAAACAGCTCTGATAGTAGTGCTTGATATTAAAGCATTCCTAATTAGAAAGTAAATGTCAAGAGTAGTACTTATAACAAATACTGTACTGAGCATGCAATAATCTTGATTAGTTTTACTTTCTATATTTTGTATATTCAGTTTTCATTTGTGTTATAAGCATATATTAAGGTATATGGGTTTACTCTCCATCTCCACTACACCTTCCAAATAGGAAATTTATTTGCTATTTAGGAAGACCTCAATACTACTGACATTTCTCAGTACTTTTCTTAACTGCTCCTCCAACTAGAAGAAGGACTAGGCTATTACTTTACATCCTTCTTACTTGTTTGAACACTGTACTTGTCTTCTCTCTTGAGTTCCAGCCAGTAGAAACTGTTAGGAATATTGGGATTCAATACTTAGGAACCACCCTAAGTTGGGTAACTCCATTTAGAATTGGAATCTCTAGTCTCTAACACCCGACTGTGGCCTCCATATGGGGCCTGCAAGTCATTATACATATCTATCTTTACTGGATGGTATAACTATAGTGCCACAGAATTGAAGGTGTCGGAATAACACTGCATACATCACTGCAGTCTTTCCTACTATATCCTGTTTGCAGAATAAATGGGAGGAGACCTTTGGCTAGATCTGGGAAGTGGTCTGGAGCAAATCCGTCAACTGCTCAGAGAGTTACTAGGCTTCAAAGATGTGACATCTTTGGCATATGTTGTAAGTAACGGGAATTTTTTCATACAACAATACGGTATCGAATGTTAAAGCATCTAAAAGAGAAACCAATACATTCACACCCACTCTATAATAACCAGAAGAGTTTAGAACTTCCAGGAACAGTACCAGACAAGCCAATAGACTTTAAGGAGTGTTACAACTGGGTCCAGAAATGCACTGTAGTTGCGAGACAGGTTTCCAGTACTAGAGTAGCGATTAAAACTGTGTTACCCAGTGCAACCAAGGGTTTTTGATAGAGGGATCATCTATCAATCCAGTAGAATAGCTTCCTGCAAATTAGTAGGAAGTAATCTGGAAGATAACAGTAGGTTGAATATGGAGTTAGGGGAATTTGAAGTTAGGCGACCTTGAAAGATTGCAATTATAACTACCTCCACAGATACAATCCGCAGAAGATACTGATCATTTCATCGCTGACTGTGACAATTAGGACCAATTCGGTTCGACTTAAGAACTGGGCCATAGGTTTAAAGACTCTGATAATCAGATAATTACTATTGGGAATAGTATAGTTCCGAGTTAGCAATATCATAATTACTGAAGAGAGTGTGGTGATTTTCAGAGTCTCTAGGTATTTACACCATTGGAAAATACCTGATGTTATGAGTTTTGATCAAAGAAGTACATAGCTGTATAATAGATAGCTGTAGTTCACAAACACTCGGAAGAGGAATATAATTATCGAAGTGCCTTCTCAGCTTTTAAACATTATCAAGCAATGGAGAAGAGATCTTAACAAGATAATATTGTTCTCACAATTCTATTCTACTTTACTTACTTTACTTCTCTCATAATAGCTATAAACAAAACTCGTGTAATATGATCCTTCTTAGACAATTTCCATCTAAGGAAACAAATCTTAGTTGGCTTAGATAACTCTAAAGTCTATTAGGTTGTCTCCGCCTAACAGAAACCTTTCCCTTACTTCTTCCACTATCTTATACTATTGGTTTTTAGCATCATCCAGCTGTTACTCTAGCATTACTTGTATCAGCAAGGTCTTCATTTCATATTGTTCCTATAACAGGAAATAGAGAATATAATTAGAGGTATATAAATACTAAGAGTCTCTTGTACATCTTTCTAAAAAATAAACTAAAGATCCTTTTAGTTTTCTCAAAAGGCCACTGTTTTTCTTAATACCCTCTTCCAATTTATCCTACATATCTAGTAGTATCTTATTAATAAAGTAATATTATTACTGCTAGAATAAAATACTACTTAAGAGATTCAGGAATAAACATAGGAGTATTAGAAACTGCAGGAAGCTACCTAGTTAAGATACAAATAGACATCCAATAGTGGTTTTGTATTTGGGTCAACTGCCCCTCTCTGCACTTCATGGTAGTAATCAACTGGTATCCTATATTAGTAAAAACAATTTTCTGCATCCTGTGTGGTCCATGCATTTGACACATGGGACATTCAAAATGCTAATTGTTAATCAGAATGCAATATTAGCAAGATATCACATTCTACATTGTGTAGTAGGATGTCTCATGTCTACACGATACCCTGTTAGTAACTATTATATTCCACTCATTCTGTGAATGACCTACTCTCAGCTTTAGTATTCATATTATTGATCTTACCAGCTACTACTGCACCCAGACAATGCCCTCTGGCACCCTCTTCATTCAACTAAGTATCTAGCTCACATACTGCTGGCAGGCAATCTTTTTTTGCTTGGTCATGTTCTAATAATTTCCATATCTGCTCAATGGTATTAGGATTCTCAGATGCTGAAAGTCCCTGTTTTAGATATCCTGCAGTGTCTACCTATTTGTGTCCAAATTCTTTCTACTTAGTATTCCTAGTGTCATGAGTCTTGCTTGATATAACTCTCATCTCCAGATTAGACTTTGAAATAGTCTTCTTATTCTTCATACTCCATCTGGTCTCTGGAGATCTGCAGGATCTCATCAGACACATGGTAAAATGTTCCCTTTTCCGCCGGTACATTATGCTCCTTCTATAGAGGTCAACTAGATATCTTCCTGATAGTTGGCCTTTATTCATTATTGTTGTACTCCTACATGTTATGCATTTCTATTACAATTTATCAAATTAATTAATAGTACTAATACTTATATTTACATTCTGCTCATTGCCACTCATTTTCCTGTCCAATTTCTTGTATTCCATTGGTCTCCTAATTATTAACATCTTACTGACAATCACAAATCTAGGTAGGAGGTCTGGTACCTTACCGAGATTCTTTTAGGCTAAGGGACAGGCAACATGATAAAGAAGACCTCATGATATGGGTAATATTGGTCAGGGAGTCCGCTTAACGCGCCCCTCGCCCCTCTCGCATCCG